GCCTTCGAATCTTAAGAGTCAGAAGGGTCACCAAATTTCTTTGCAACCAGGGAATTCCTACTCATTGAAGACGAATTGTTCGTGGCCTAAACAACCATTGATGACAATTTCACTATTCTACGAGGATGCCATATCGAAGTGAAGGAAGGGCAACACAATCTCGCGCAAACTTCTCTGCACCGCTTTCGAGAAGGTCATGAGCTAAGTGGTATGGGGAGATATGACTGTCGAGTTTTACGGCCCACAACTACATCACCCGTGCCTTGTTGGCATTAGTGCTGAACATCTCCAATTGCTTCAGCTGCACGTAATTAGAACAGGAAATCAGTAGTGATTGGTTTTGAGAAGAACGAGAGAGTCGTGAGGGAGATTGGAAGCGCTCAACGTCTCCTTCTTTAAGATTCTGCGCTTCATCACGTTTTACTAGACGCTGGAACATGTGATGGCAGAGAAGTTGCCAAAAAGAGTATGCTAACAGTACAGCAGGACGAACGCCGATCCGTCGTTCAGGTACCTTCTAAACGTTCTGAACAAAATGAGTGAATTCCGCAGAGTTTGGCGAACTTCGAGAGAAGCCCGACTGCTCTTTGTTTGTGATAAGAACGAATGTAGACGTTACAGGTCTTCGCTACAAGAATTTGGTAAGCAACAATACACGTGATACTCACCGTTATGTGCTCCTTCACGGCTAATAATTCTAAAGTCTCTTCCGTTCTGAAGGTAGCACTACTGATGATGAGAAGTGGAAGGGCATATAGCAATGGTATTGACCAGTGCAAAACCACCAACACCCATCTATGAGAAACGTTGATGATCTAAATAGAAACCTTAGCGCTACTGCAAGATAAGGTGGCATTAAGGTGGCGGTGCATCCTAAAACCACGTGAAGCGTCTCCTTTTCGCTAAAAAGGATGAAGCCTTAGGCGGGGGTAGAGAGACCTCACGGTGGGTGGGCTCTTTCCGTTTTCCCCGAACTTCCTGCCCTTGTCTAGGTTTGGCCCAACGGATGCTCCCGTATCTTGCGATAGCGTTGGAAGGTTTATTGAACTATAGAACAAACTAATACATTGAAGTCATTACCTGCTCGATATGACTACCGTTCTTGCACATGGTAATATATCGTTGAAAAGACATCAACAGTACACCAAAGCATCGCAGGAATATCGATATATAAAGCTGATTAAAGGTCCAAGTCGGTAGATAGCTGTGTCGCATAGACCAATAGAAACTGTTGAATAATCGTGATGCACGGAGTACACCGAAGAACATGTAATTACTCATGACAAGTATGTCTACGAAACCCTGAAATAGAATATTCTGGAAGTGTTGCGCTACTTCTGCGAAAAAATTCAGAATTCCATTTTCGGTGAAACTTCTGTTTTATGGGCCCTTTGTAGGCCACTCGTTCCGTGATTACTGAATGCGGTCGTATCAGATGTGTTCGCAGTTTCCAGGAGTGGACCGTGGTTATGAAATTTGCAAAAGTCGAAGGAGACGTGTTTGAAGTTGAGAGAAACCATTTCTTTTTTTCTCATTTCTTTTTTTTGTAGTAGATGGGGGAGCGTTTTGCGATTTTCATTTTGAAAAGTGCTGAGTCACTTGCCACCGTCCGCTGTGGGGTAAACACCTTAACACGTTGACGACATTGTGCAGCGCATGCGCATCACACCTTGAGCACCGTGTGGGACCGTGTGCAGCGCATGCGCTGCACACACAAATTATTAATTTTTTTCGCGCATGCGCTACTTCTTTTCTAATTTTTTGCATCTATTCTATAGACCACACCATAATATGACTAGACACGGCGAGGTTCATCGAATGGTTGAATATGCTCCTTTTTAGCGAAGGTTTTCTAAGCCCTACGAATTTCCCAATTGTGTTCATTCCTAGTTTTCTTTATATTCTGACAACCTTGGTCATAAAAAAGAGCAGTAGAAGTAAGTACAGACCTACACATATAGCAAGATATATGTTTTTAGTGGAGCAACCGCGTCAAAAATAATTTTGAGGTTCACTACAGCAAAGCAACT